AAAATATCATGTTTCCCTTCCTATAGGACCAGCTTGTGGTGACAAGCGAATGCATGGCAGCAGGGCGTTTGGTGGACTTAGATTCTGTGGCAAGTAGCCAAGATCCTCTTCTCCCCTTCCAAGAGGAATTTGTTGACATTAAGAAAGCAAAGGCTTTCCTCTCTCAGAAGCAAGAGGGGTGGCTGTCCATTCCCATTCCCATGAAAGCTATGAGATTTATACTGTGGGGGTTTCTCAACTCCATTACACATCCCAGTGAGTTTCAGAGGACCGTGGCCCTCACCACATGCATCAGGGTGAAAGAACAGGCTTAAAAGGTAACTGTGTGGTTATTGCTATGCGTAAGTAATAATGAACCTGTATCAGCTCCAAAAAATCTTGTATTCAGGACATCTTCTCAGAGAAGGGTCCCCAGGAAGGGATGGAAAAGGTTCAGTATAGCACCAAGGAAACACACCACATTCCTCTGGTTCTTTAATGCTTCTGTCATGACCCCACCCCTATCATGACCCCACCCCTATCATGACCCCAGTTCTTCCTTACAAATCCAGCTAGACCGGAGCATGCACACCGGTACAGATAAGAGCTCTCGACATGCGGAATCCAGGACAGATAAACCCCTTAGGAACAGTAATGGGAGTAGTGATACCATGAGAGTCGGAGAAAGGTGGAGGGAGAAGGGGGAGATAAAGGGAACCAATTGCAATGATCAATGTATAACGCCCCTCCCACCCCAGGGAATGAACAACAGAAATGTGGGTGAAGGGAGACAGTAGACAATGTCAGATATGAAAATAAAAATATTTTATTATTTATCAAGGGTTCATGAGGGTGAGAGGGCAAGGGAGGGAGTGAAAATGAGGAGCTGATACCAAGGGCTCAAGTAGAAATAAAATATTTTGAAAATGATGATGGCAACATATGTACAAATGTGCTTGACATAATGGATGTATGGATTGCTATAAGCTGTAAGAGCCCCCAATAAAATGATTTATATATATTAAAAAATCTTGTGTTCACTTTTAGTATCATATAAATAAGTGTGGATATAAAAACTCAGTAGTCAGGTTTTTGTTCCACTTTGCTTTTCAGGTTTAAAAATTCTGAAGGAGATTCCACGATTCCTCTTTTTTCCCCTTCTATTTCTCTGATGATTAATAATGCCAAGCATTCAAAACTGCAATTAACATCTATTTGTCTGTTTAGTCATATGCTCATGGGAGCACTGGGTGGGGGGCGGGGTGTGGTTATGCACTGGGCTGTAAGCCATGGGGCTGCACTTCCCAAACACCAGTAGCCAGTTCAAGGACTGTTTGTTGGCCTTTAAATGTGTTTTCCAGTCCAGTCTGTTGGGGCACCATGCCCTGGCCCTAAAGTCCACCTTCAGCATTCTCTTGGGACCTTGCTGCTCCATTCCCTTGCTGTTCTGTTGCACCCCCTTAGTGTTTTGCCTCGGTGTGGCAGGATCAGATCGGGCACAATTCCCACACGGTGTCTCCGGTGTTGTCCCCTGTAGGGCTATGGGTTGGTTGGGGGTGTCATGTCTCATAGTAGGGCTAGCCATGTGGTCCTTTCTGTGGACTGGCTGCTCTAATCAGGAACATCGTCCTCAAGGCCTGGTGGGCCAGGATGTGCTCCACTCTCTCCTCCTCCCCCTTCATCTGCACCCATGTGCTCTGATCAGATATGTCCCTCTACCGGAGCTGTAGATTCAACGCCCTCTTTTGAAATAACTTCTTCTGGGGGAGGGGCACTTTCTGCCTCTTATGGTTCATGTTTTTGTGTGTTTTATTAAAAAACTATTGCCTACTTCAATGTTGCAAAAATATTCCTCTAGGTTTCTTCTATAACAACGGATCTCAACCTTCCTAATGCCATGACCCTTTAATACAGTTCCTCATGTTGTGGTGACCCCCAACCACAATTATTTGCCTTGCAACTTCATAATTGTAATTTTGCTACTGTTATGAATCATAATGTAAACATCTGATATGCAGGATGTATTTTCATTGTTACAAATGGAACATAAAGCATAGTGATTAATCACAAAACAATATGTAATTATGTATTGTGAAATATTTATTTATGTGTTTTCTGACAGTCTTAGGCGATCTCTGTGAAAGGGCCGTTTGATCCCCAAAGGGGTGCGACCCACAGGTTGAGAACTGCTTATCTATAAGCTTTGTAGTTTTAGGTATTATGTTGAGGTCTACGATACATTTTGAGTTAAATTTTGTATGTTGTGTGACTAAAGATCGTTCCTATTCTGATGGGCCGCATTATATCTGTTTCCTTAGGCTGTCTCTGAAGTTTGGTGATGGTGAAAATCACAAAGTCTTTGATGTAAGGTAGGTCTTACAACCAAAAAAGGTAAACTGACTATATTTCCAACATGGGTATTTGGGAGCATCGGAGGCTGAACACTTCAGGTTAACTCATTGCACTCACTGCAATGGAGTGGATTCCATCTCACAGATTTCCGAGAGGGCCAGCTGTAAATGTCCCTGTGGGTTTCTGCGGCCGTACGTACGTCTTTGCGGAAGCAGAAGGCTTCATCTTTGCTCCATGGTGGACTCAAACTTGTGACCTCGGGGGTAACAGCCCAATGTACAATCCAGAGTTTCACTAGGGCTCCGCCTTTCAGATTAGCTCTCTATAAATTACTCATGCATTGTGACATGTGACACATCTACTTAATTGCCCTGAAAAGTTAGTGGTATGACCAATAGAATCTTATAGTAATTTCTCGGTTTACTCTTCACCAAATCCAGAGATGTTTTGTCCTCTTGTCCCTACTAAATTACAGACTTAGAAAAGCACATGTATTTGAACCTGTGATACTTGTTTTCTATAAGCAAAGAATAAAATATAATTAAAGCTCTGGCTTGTAGTTCATGTCTATAGCTCTTTAAAATAAATATACTTATTGTTTAATAATGTTACTTAAATTTCTCTACTGACAATCAACACAAGAATACATTTCTCTGTGTTTATACATGAAAGGACAGATCTGCCAATAACGGTTGGGTATCTCAGCCATTAGGAGCAGCTGATGGAAAAAACAAACAACAAAACAGCCCCCAAAATGAACAACAACAACAAAATGAAGGCATTTAATTTTCTTATAAAATATCATGTTTCCCTTCCTATAGGACCAGCTTGTAGTGGTGCTAAGCATTCACATCTTTAAAATTACTTGGGAAGCCAGCAGGATGTGCTAGGGCAGGCTTCCATAAACGGCATCTGAGGGAACATTCTGTTCTGTGAAAAAAATTGGTAATATTCCAGCGAAAAGTGGTCCTGTGGTCAATGGTTTTTGGAAGCCTGCACAGCACACTCCCCTCTGGGAGATCCACAATGTAAATTTGTAAACTAAAGTTTCTGTGAAGACCTGCTCCTGGGGACGTTGGGTCCATCCTGCGGGGCCTAGGGTTTCCTATGCTTAACCTTGGAAAGCCTTTCCCCTCAGGACACTTGTTAGCATGTCATGGCACACTAGTGTTTTTCTATTGATCATCATTTTAAAATTGCACCCTTCCTTCCATCTTCTCTCAGAGCCACTTTGCTAGAAAAAACAGAACCCCACATGGTAGTGACACACACACACACACACACACACACACACACACACACACACGATACAGAATGGGGACTGCATTTTAAGGATCATAAGCCAAAGCCAAACCACACCCATTGCCATCACGTGGATTTTGACCCCTAGCCGCCCTGTGTCGCACGCACTGCCCCATGGGCTCCAAGGCTGCGATCTTGATGGAGGCAGGCTGGCTCCTGGGACAGTTGGTGGGTCCCAGCTGTGATCTCTCCTGTCCCTTAGCAGCTGGGCTCTTAGTCCTGCTCATGCAGGGCTCTTTCCATGCACACCAGCACCTCTTGTTTTCAAACGTAAAACGATCAGCCAAAAAATGATGGAGCTAGGGCAACAGCGGTCAATACATAGTCCTCCGACTACTCTATTAATAGATGCCTGCATAAACATGCAGGGTGTATAGGTGTGGGAGGCTGAGTGGGACTACTCTCAAATTTCTATTTGTTCCTTTGCTGCAAATATACTTTTGAATGTGGCTGAGCAGCCACAGTTATAAAAACTTTTTAGACATAACCAAACGCATTAGGAGAATGAGTCCCTGGTCCTGGAGTCTTAGGACCATGGCCTCAGGGGAAGCTGAGGTCAATGGACTTGATGTCATCCACAAAGGCCATGTTCTACATCTTACTTTGGTGAGTAGCGCCCAGGGTCTTAAACATTCTTAAGTAGCCATCGAAGAATGGCTACTTCTCTGTCTGTCCAGAAGAAAGACAAGGGATGAAAATTGAAAGACACCTGTAAACAGTTAGTCCAAATACACGAATGAACTGCTCAAACCTCAGTCTCCACAGCCCTGAGACCAGAACAACGAGCTTGTGCCCGACTATCATTGACTATCAAGGCAGAAGCTTCTGGTCGGAGTTGGGGGAAGATGTGGAACAAAACGGAAAATCATAAAATTGACCAGACTTCCTGGTTAGAGAGAAACTGGTGGAAGCATGGGCTCTCAGGTGCTTCGTGAGACTTTAGATCTGGAAATAAACTCACCCCCATGACTCAGTTTTCAGCCAAACTGACCTGTTTGTTGTTAGTTGCCAATGAGTGCTGTTCTGCGCAAAAGGACCCTCTGTGCAGCAGAATGAGAGACTGGCACCTTCCTCACTGTGGTCCTTTTGTTTGGGCCTTTGGTTGCAGCCTTGGTGTCAGGTGTCACTCCATCCTGGTGAGGGTCTTCCTCCTTTTACCTGCTGCTCCGCTTCACCAAGCGTGCTGTTCTTCAGGGACTGGTTTCTCTGGATGACATGGCCGAAGGACCTGAAACCAAGTGTTGCCATCCTGGCTCCCGAGTAGATTCTGGTTGTGCTTCTTCCAAGAGAGACTTGTTTGTTCTTTTGATAGTCCATGGCGCTTTCAATAGTCTGCTAGCTCCATCATTCAAATGCCTCCAACAGAGCCAAGCCACAGACAAGTCTTGTACGGGGAACAGTAACATGCATGAGGGATGCACACTTGACACTATGATCAGCCCTTTAAAATCACCAGAGCAGCATATACCCTTGGGCACATCTCGGATGAGCTAGAAAGACGGAGGCGTGGAGACCGGAAACACAGGCAGGAAATGGGAAAAGAAATGCTTCATTGTGGGGATTGTGAGGAATGAGCTGTGTATGACTTGTTGAATGGAACACTTTCATCCAGTTCTCAGTAGAAATCGAAGAACAGAAAAATGGATAGCTTCCGAAATCCAAAGGCAAGTCTATTCTGTCCTATAAGGTTAAGAGTCAGACTTGATAACAGTGGTGTGTTTTGTTTTAGAGCCTTCACAGTTGTGATGCTTTGGAAGCAAATCACCAGGCCTTTCTTTCGAGGCACCTGAGGGTGGTGTCAAACCACCAACCAGTTTTGTTTTGTTATTTCATGTCTTTTAAAAAAAATCCTTTTTTGGGGGGCTCTTGCAGCTCTTATCACAATCCATCCACCCATCCATTGTGTCAAGCACATTTGTACACATTGTGTCAAGCACATTTGTTGCCATCATCATTCTCAAAGCATTTTCTTTCTATTTGAGCCCTGGTATCAGCTTCTAATTTTTCCCTCCCTCCTCTTCACTTCCTCCCCAATGAACCCTTGATAATTTATAAATTATTATTATTTTTTCATGTCCTACACTGACCGATGTCTCCCTTCACCCACTTTGCTGTTGTCCGTCCCCCGGGGAGCGGGTTATATTTAGATCATTGTGATTGGTTCCCCACTTTCTCCCCCACCTCTCCCTTGCCCTCCGGGTATCGCCACTCTATATTATTGGTTCTGAGGGGTTTTCTGTCCTGGATTCCCTGTGTTTCCAGGTCTTATCTGCCCCATTGTACATGCTCTGGTCTAGCCAGATTTGTAAGGTAGAATTGGGATGATGATAGTGGTGGGGAAGAAGCATTAAAGATCTAGAGGAAAGCTATATGTTTCATTGGTGCTATACTGCACCCTGACGGCTCATCTTTTCCTTGTGACCCTTCTGTAAGGGGATGCCCAATGGTCTACAGATGAGCTTTGGATCCCTGCTCCACACTCCCCCTCATTCACATTGATCTGATTTTTTGTTCTGGGTCTTTGGTGCCTGATACCTGATCCCATCAACACCTCATGATCACATAGGCTGGTATGCTTCTTCTATGTGGCCTTTGTTGCTTCTCTGCTAGATGGTCAATTGTTTTATCTTCAAGCCTTTAAGACCCCTGATGCTATATCTTCTGATAGCTGGGCATCATCAGCTTTTTCACCACATAAACTTATGCACCCATTTTGCGATCACATCAGGAAGGTAAGCATCACAGAATGACAGGTTATTAGAATAAAGTGTTATTGTATAGCGGGAGTACTTGAGTAGAGGCCCGATATTTGTCTGCTACCTTAATACTTAACATATAAATATATGTCCATAGATCTATTTCCCTATCATCATGTATAAATATATTTACTTATGTGCATGCCTGTATTTAGACCTCTATAAATGTCCTTTGCCTCATAGTATTTTCCTCTGTTTCAGTGATTCTCAACCTTCCTAATGCTGTAACCCTTTAATACAGTTCCTCATGTTGTGGTAACCCCCAACCATAAAATTGCTTTCATTGCTACTTCATAACTAATTTTGCTATAGTTATGAATCATAATGTAAATATCTGATATGCAGGATATATTTTCATTGTTACAAATTGAACATGATTAAACATAATTAAAGCATAGTGATTAATCACAAAACAATATATAATGATATATTGTGAAATATTTATGTGTTTTCCGGTGGTCTTAGGTGACCCCTGTAAAGGGTCGTTCAACCCCCAAAGGGGTTGCGACCCACAGGTTGAGAACCACTGCTCTATTTCCTTTTACTTTCCTCTTGTCCCACTATCATGTTTAGTCTTCATCTGGGTTTCTGTAATTCCTCTTGGCTACATTGCCCTTGATCAAGCACCACCAGAAATCCTATACCCTCCTCGCCATCAATTTTTCCCTTGTCCCTGGATTGGTTGACACCTCCTTTCCTTCCCCTGCCTCCCCTCTCCTGTGTCCTCTTAAACTGTTGGTCCCGTTGTTTTCCCCTCCGGTTTCCCCATTTATCTTATCTAGATAGACATACAGAGAAAATAATAAGCACAAACACAAGACAGAGCAAAACAAAACAACAACAAAAAAAGAAAAGCTTATAAATAGCTCCAGGCTGTTTGTTGACCTTTACGAGTTTTTTTCTTATCAAGGGCTCAAGCAGAAAGAAAACGTTTTGAGAATGATGGTGGCAGCAAATGTACAAATGTGCTTGACACTATGGATGTATGTATGGGTTGTGATAAGAATTGTAGGAGCCCCTAATAAAAAGATTTTTTTTAAAAAGAGTGTTTTCCAGTAGAGACTGATGGGGTGCCACGCCCTGGCCTCAAAGTCTATTTTTGGTATTCCAGGGACTTTGTTACTTTGCTCCTCTTGCTGCTCTGTTGCACGCCCTTTGCCCCTTAGCATTCCACCCAAGTGTGGTAGAGTCAGATTGGGCACAATTCCCACACTGTGCCTCCAGTGTTCTCCCCTGTAGGGCTCCGGGTCAGTGAGGGATGTCGTGTCTCGTGGTGGGGCTGGTCCTATGGTCCTCTCTGTGCATTGGCTGCTCTGAGCTTGGTGCGCCAGGATGTGTTCCACTCTCTCTCCTTCCCTCTTCGTTTGCTCCTGTGTGCTCTGATCAGACGCGTCCCTCTCCCTGAGCTGTGGCTGCAGTGCTGTCCTCTGAGGAAAGCACCAGCCTTTGGGATGAGTAGCCTAGCACTTCACCGTGTGCATCGCCCAGGCACTGCTCTCTGTTTCTTACTCTGACTAGAAAGATTCTGTCATTCGGAGAAGCTGCCGATACTGAAGGCAGCACTATGGGGTCAGGAGTTATTTATTTTGTTTGTTTCATCTACTTATAATAGTTTTTAATCACTTAGGAGAACAACGAGGGAAGACAGGCAACCAATTCACTGGCTATTGATACATATTTTTGTTTTAAAACAATTGAGCAGAAAGAAATATATAATTACTGGTTCTAAAGAAGAAACAGAAAACCATGGCTGTGTTCCCTTTTGTAGCCCTTGGTATTGCTCACTTTTGAGGGGCACCCTGTCCTTCCCACCTTTGGGAACAGAATGAGGGAAAAAGCCTTTCCCCAAGCTCATCATACTACCTGACAAAAGAGGGCGCTGCTGTACTGCTCAGAGGCGATGTCCGGGACTAGCAAATGCTTGGAGACTAATGCTGTTTTATATTCATTTTCAGATTCCTTCTTACCAATTACAACAGGTTATCTGTCCAGAGTTGGTTTAGTTTGCACCAAGTCGAGATTATCTTCAATAACTCAGTCCAAGCAACTTTTAATGCAAGCGGCATCTCTGCTCCGGCTACTTACTCCTACCACTGCCAGCACGTCAGCACCCTGCAGCGACATGACGCCCTCCTGGTGCCCAGCGACCAGGAGCATGGCTCGGGCCTGTGGGAGGTCACTTTTGTTGACTTCCAGGTAATAAGTCAGCTCCACGCACCTGTGTATTTGGTACCAAAGAAACAATCTGCGTGGAAACACCCTGAACTTAGATATTCCAGGAAAAGAGGATACCTCTAACGTCATATTGTTTTTATCATTATCCTCTAAGGTGGAAACTCTCTCCTTGAGTCCTTGTGCCACCCTCACTGCCCCCTTCCCCTCCCACCTCTCTCTCCCCCGCAAAGGTTTGCTTGTACATTCTGGTTTCTCAGGGCACTATCAGCTATCAGTGAGGAATGCCAGCCACCCAGCCCCAGTGAAGCTGTGGCCTGAAGCCCCGTGACTGAGGCTTCCTGAAGTGAGAGGCCCTTCTGGGGGAAGAATTGCCAGACAATTATTTTATTTCCTTTGGGGGAGTGCAGCAGTGATCCTATCTGGGCAGATAAGAGGTGCACAGGAAGCTGAGTGACAGCTTTGGCAGGTAGCAAAGGAGTGAAACTGTCAGCCAGGGGTCAAAAATATCCCAAAGCGTCTTGTGGAAAGTGCTAGCATAAAGGAAGGGGGGTGGGGTGGGGGCATAAGAGGTTTCTTTTCACCATCTCAGGCTGAGGGGTGCCCGCAGCTCCTCTGGCCTGTTTACCTGCAAAAGAAGCCCAACTCGCCTTTCCAATTCCGTGAAAGAGCAGGCAGGGGTCTGCTTGTCCCTCTCACAGGCCCCTTAGCAACCTTTTACATCACACACACACACACACACACACACACACTCACACACACACCTATCTGCATTTGTTCACTCATTTCCCTTTGGGGTAGGAGTTTGCATTTCAGAGTTAGCCCTATTGGGGCTCAGATTCCTACTCAGCCACCAGAGCAGAGCATGTTCCTTAAATGTCAGTCACTGTCTGACCTCTTTTACAGATTTGAGGAAAACATGGCCTCACATACGTGGAAACACCCAGGACTGTGTCCAGCAGGAAGTGACAATATTTATAGGCTCTCAATGGGTCAGTGTCCACTCAGTGGCAGTGCATTAGGCTTTTATACTTAGGAGTTTAGTACTTAGGAGTCTGCACTTCGGGAATCATTTTATATGCGTTGTCTTTAAGACCTATCACAATGTTGCAAACTCACTGCCGTTGAGTCGATTCTGACACAGAGTGACCTCATAGGACAGGGTAGAACTTCCCCTGTGGGCTTCTGAGATCGTAACTCTTCACAGGAGCAGAAAGCCTCATCTTTCGCCAATGGAGCAGCTGGTGGTTTCGAACTGCTGACCTTGTGGTTAGGAGCCCAACTCGTAACCATAACTGTTATTTTCTTTGCCTTACAAATGAGATGACTTTTCAAAACGATAAACTTTGCAAGTTGGAGAGATTTGGAGCTCTGGCTTCAAAAGACAGACAGACACACACACACACACACACACACACACACACATTCTGTACCTGTGGAAACTGAAACCGTGAAAGCCAGAACTGCCTTGTCTTTTCAGGTCTCTCCATGTTTCTGCTGTTGACTTTGCTGCTGCTCTGTTACGAGACATATATGCCTTTTCTTCTCTGACAATCACCGCCTAGCATGCTGCGGCTTTCTCGAGGCTTAGTTCATCCATCTGACGGGGACCAAAAAGGTTCATGAAAAACATTCCATTATTTTTTATTTCATATTCTTAGCCAAGGTCATCATTTGAGCTCATGAATTCTTTTGTCATCTTTTTTTTTTCACCATCCAACTTTCACATACATGTGTGGCAATGGAAAAGACCTTGGCTTGGTTTGGATGCATCTTAGTCATCAAAGTGCTACGAGTAAAACAAGACAGACAACCATTCCCCATGCCCCACCCAAACCAACCAAACGAAAGCCTTCAGTGAGTTCTAGCTATCAGATGTTTGCCTTCTTAGGAATCCTGACAGTCTCTCTCCAAGGCACTTCCTAATTCCTGTTAATAGAACCAAAGGTAGAGGAAGTGGCCTTAAAATGATTTGTGAAACATATACTAACTCTTATAAAATGTTGAGTGTCCTTTGAATTTTAGAGCTAATACAGCAGATGTGGTTGTAGATGAACTGGAATGTTCCTGAAAATCAGAATAAAAGAGGTTTTATTTGAAAGCCGTGAATTTCATGAGCCTCTTAATTATGGAAACCATACAGCCTAGGGTTGCTGGGCAAGTTCTGATTCACCATCAAGCTTCCCTGGTTCCTATCAGCTCATTCTCATTTGTCAGATCCTATATGCAAATCTCTCAGAAAAGATGGTTACTGCATTTTAAATTTGGCTAATCAGGGGACCCAGAGCTCCCAGGCCAACTGGGAAAGAGAGCTTAGGAGAGAAAAAGATGTCCCATCTGCTCCTTCTCTCTCACGACAGATCCAAGGCTTTTCCATCCGGGGGTCAGAGTTTGCCAAGGCCAGAGACTGCGCCTCGTCCCGCTCACCAGCCGTTCTGATCGGCCTGGCGATGTCGCTGATCTTGCTGCTGGTGCTGGCCTCAGCGCTGCACACCCTAATCCACCTGCGGAATCTTGACCGGCACTACGACTTCATCGCCTCTCCTGCCCACTTCTCGCAGTTGAAACGGAGAGACGTAGCGGAGGAGAAGGGATTGCTGCAGAGCCAGGGAGTTGAATGCTATGAACTGAGAAGCCACCAGATTTGCAAAATTTACGTTTAACGGCACACGTCTATGTCCTTCCCGGCATCCCTAGTGGAGGTGTGCACTCGATGCTGGCGCCAGAGACTTGGTTTTGACAGCAATGGCAACAGAGGCTCCAATGCAGACAGAATTGCTTTTGAAGTATCCATTGGGTTATTGAGAGGGACACAAGGCAGTGAGAAAACATTCTGGCTACTCTGCAGAAATTAAAAAAGAAAAGAAAAAATTGTTTCCTTAAATCTAGGTCCAAACCCACGGCCATCAAGTCCAATCGGATTCATCGTGACCGTGTGTAGGGTTTTTCAGGCAGAGCATCTTTATGGGAGTAGTGAGCCTCATCTTTCTCCCTCAGAGTAGCTGGTGGGTTTGAAATGACTACTGTGCAGGTATCAGTCCAAGGATTACCTGGCATTCGTTTCAAACCTACCTTGAAAACAAAAGGATGCCTCATGTTACTCTGACTCCTGGCGGCCCCACGTGTGCCAGAGGAGACCTGGGCCCCATCAGGTTTTTAGGGGCTGATTGTTCAGAAGTAGATCACCAGGCCTTTCTTCCACAGTGCAGCTGGGTGGACTCCAACTGCCAACCTTTCTGTTACCAGTTGAACATACTACCTGTTGCACCACCCAGGGAGTCCTTGTTTCAAGTAATGGGAACCTGGTCCTTCCCCGGATGGTGTGTTCACTCTGCAACCAACCAAACGCTAAGACTACAAGGTGATGTAGTGGCGGGAAAGCACACACAGTTGGTTCCCCATGCATATGCCAATTCCCATGTCCTGAGTGTAGAAATAAGCCCAAGTTTATCTAAAAATTCAGAATTAAAAATACCATGTAACCTCATTTGCATTCAGGAACTATCTCCCAATTTTATTTTAAAATTAAAAGAAATTATTCTTTCTTTTCCACATGGCTGTTTAGGGAGCACTCCTGTTCAATACTGTAGAGCGTTCTCCTTAGGGATCGCCTCGTTAGTCACTTTGCCGTGCACAGGTCACCCAGCCTGATCTGCGAAGTTGGGGTAGTGATCTCGGTGGAATCCTACCTTTCCCATCGGATGGCTGTGCTATGAATTGCCTGATTTCTCTGCTTTAGACCTTCATAACCTCCATCAGCTGCCACTCAAAATAAACAATTGAATTTTCTATGAATAGTGCGTTCGCTATGCAATCACAGTTTCTGGGCAAGTCCCCTAATCCTCCTTCCAATGAGATAGTGTCCCTGAGAGTCTCGCTTCATAGAAAGCTTGGGGCCCCCGGGGTTCTTTCTACGAACCTGTCCTCAATCTTCTATGGATTTCCCCACTCCCCTCTGTGTTTCTGATAGATACTGAATGTTGTCTCCCTCTGCATCCTCACCAAATCTCTAACAAGCATTCTGTGTTTAAGAGCACTTGAACTTGAAAAGCATGTTACATTTTCCTTACCAGGTCTCTACACATGACCGAGGTTCTCCTAAGAAGAACAACACTTGCAAGCACTTAGAATGAATACAGACTGAACGATAAGGGTGGGAGTGGGAGGTCAATCTTCTGAGTTGCTGCGGTGATAGGATAAGACATTGTTTAGCCTTGTATTTTAGGTATCAAATGGTGAATGGCAATGAGTGGGGTTTGCGCTGGAGTCTCGTGTTGGGCATTACTCTATTCTTGGCTATGCTGTAGGTTTGGATCTAGCCCTTTCAGAATTCTGTAAGTCCATAGTACTCTTAAATAAATTTATTTCTGCTTGACTACCCGGAGTAGATTTTGTATTCTGCAATGAAAAATCATGATTTATGTGGTTCTAGATATTGGAGGTGATGACATGGCCTAGATCCTCAAGAACACAGGGCTGATTATCTGACTGGTTGGCTTAAAATCAGCGAGGAACACTGTTGGCATTAGAGAATGGGACATCGACAACTCATACCATTCAGTTAAGGAACAGACCACCAATATGATTTCCTTGAATGAAGTGTTTCGTGGCAGCATGAATGGCTGTAATAGATAACAGGTATGGGAAGGGTGACCGTATATTTTATTGCTCTGATGGGTACAGTATTGAAAGTGAGAGAAGGTATCATTAGCAATTATTCTGTGATAGCTGATAAGATGATGATGGGCAGCAAATTGGGGTGTCCAGTCATCTCAGGTTGGGCGATACCTTATAGAGTAGGCAGATCTTTCTAGCCATGATGGAATGATTACAGAAAGAAGACAATACCCAATATTTTAAATCTGTCATTAAAAGCACAAAGATCCAGGTAGTTCCTATGACTGTCCTATGTCTATAACCGCTGCTGCTTCCCAGAGGACCGACATCCTTGAAAATCAGATACGAGTCTGAGTCCACACGCTATTAAACAGCACTGCAGGTGCAATTCACAGCCTCATGCTGTTCCTTTTAAAAACACTAGGCATTGATCAAGAAAGGCAGGAATCATGAGAAGAGCAATAATAGCACCTGGGAAGATTTATATGACTTTAAGAATACTTTAAAGAACAAATTCAATATGGTTTCTTCTTTGTTGTGTAAGTATGGGTTGACCAGAGAAACAAATCCAGAGACACTAGTATGTGTGTAAGAGAGAACTTTATATCCAAGAGCAATTGTACATTAAGAAACATCCCAGCCAAGTCCAGATCAAGTCCATAAGTCCAATATTAGTCTATATGCCCGATACTAGTCCATGAATTCTTATACAGACTCATGAAGCACATGCAATGATGCTGAAAGCAGGAAGATCACAGGCCAGTGGGTGAACAGTCTCACGGAAGCACCTCAGCACTGACATAGTCTGCAGGTGGTTCCTCCAGCTCCAGGGCTCTGACTGCCATCAGCGCAGCTCCATTTGGCTTGTCAGCAGGAAGACAAAACATAGAGCTCATCTGGCCTCCAGTGAGCTATTTTTCTCCATTGCGCCTCTGAACGAGCTTGTCAAGCTGCAACCTGATTGACAGACTAAACTGCACCCCTTCCCTCTTCATAGTCTCAAATCGACACCAGATTATCTAACTACCACAATTTCCAATACAATCCCCTGCTTGAAGGCTCTGTAAAACCTCAGCAGAGACAGTTACCATGCCAACCCAGTTGCCAACAAGTAGATGTCAATTCATTGAGACCCCACGTGCTTCAGACTAGATCTGCACTCATAGGATTTTCATTGGCTGGCTTTTGAGAATTAGATCTCCAGGCCTTTCTTTCGAGCAGCTCATGGAGGGAATACCGTGAGCTGCTTGCATTTTTCTCCTGTGTGCAATTTCCCGCTCCAGATGGCCTCCTCTATGTATCTGTTCATTCAGCTTCTTCCACGTGTCCTTCGAGAGGAATCCTTCGGAAGGATGGTGATTTATTCATTGCCATTCGTCCGAGTTACTGCTCTCCTCTCTGTGCTCTCCTTGACCCTTATTGCTGCCTTTGTTAGATGCCACCGAGTCACTTCCATACTGAGATCATGATCAATGGTCCCATCGAGTCCGTTCCAACCAAGGGAGACCTTACGAACAACAGAACAAAACAGTTCAGGCCTGCGCCAGCGCCACAATTGTTCCCATGCTGAAATCCATTATCGACTGACCTTCACCGTGTCAGGCAATCTTCTTGAGGGCCTCTCTCTTTGTGTGGCTCCTGTTCTTTACAAACAATCTCCTGCTCTCGGCACTGGTCTTTCCTGAAAACATGTCCAAGGTATGTCAGATAAACTCTCCCCATCTGTGCCTCTAAGGACCATTCTGGCCTTACTTCTTCTCAGATAGTTTGTCCATTTAGCAGTCCATGGTGCTTTCAATAGTTTTCTCCAGCACCACAATTCAAATGCATTGCTCCTTCTACAGTCTTCCTTATTCAATGTCCACCTTTCACGTGCATCTGAGGCAATGGAGAATACCATAGCTTGGGTCAGGTGCACCTTAGTCCTCAGAGTAGCAGCCTTGCTTTTCAAAAGTCTAAAGTGGTCTTGTGCAGCAGATTTGCCCATGCAATGTATTCTGGGATATCTTGACCACTGCTTCCATGGGCATGGATTATAGAGCCAAGCAAGACAAAGTGCTTGCCACCTACAATCTTTTCTCCATTTATCATGATGTTACCTCTTGGTCCAGTTGGGAGGATTTTGATCTTCTTTACATTGAGTCGTAATTCACACAGAAGGCTGTGATCAAGGATCGTCATCAGCAAGTGCTTCAAGTCCTCCTCACTGGCAGCAGCAAGGTTCTGTCATCTGCATACCGCAGGTTGTTAATAAGTCTTCCTCCAATCTTGAGGAAGCCACATTCTTTGTCATATAATCCAGTTTCTCTGATGATTTGCTTGGCATAAAGTTGTAATAAATAGAGTGAAAGTGTATAACACTGATGCACACTTTTCCTGATGCTAAAGCATGCCACATATCCTTGCTCTGTTTGCACAACTGCTTTTTTATCTGTGTACAAATTCTGAGTGAGCACAATGCAAGGTTCTGAATTTCTCCTTCTTCTAAAGGTTATCCATAATTTGTTATGATACATACAGTCTTTGCATAGTAAACAAAGCACAAATAAACATCTTTCTGGTATTCTCTACTTCAGCCAAGATCCATCTGGCACCAACAATGCTATCCCTTGTTCCACATCCTCATCTGAATCTGGCCTGATCCTTTGGCAGCTCCCTATCAGTGTACTCCTGCAACCATTATTGGGTAATCTTCAGCAAAATTTTGCTTACATGTGATATCAATGTTATTGTTCTATAATTTGATCATATGGTTGGGTCACATTTCTTTGGAATGGGTACAAATATGGATCTCTTCCAGGCAGTTAGCCAAATAGCTATCTTCCAAATTTCCTGATATAGATGAGTAAGTGCTTCCAGTGCTTCTTCAGCTTTCTGAAACATTTCAATTGGCATTCCATCAATTCCTGGAGCCTTGTTTTTGGCTAATGTATTCAGTGCAGCTTCGATTTCTTTCTTCAGCACCATTGGTTCTTGCTTATTTTCTGCCTTCTGAAATGGTGGAATGTCCACTCATTCTTTTTGGTACAGAGACGCTGTATATTCTTTCCATCTTCTTCTGATGCTTCCTGCATCATTCAATATTTTGCCCATAGAATCATTCACTATTGCAACTCAAGGCTTGCCTTTTCCCTTGAGTTCTTTCAGTTTAAGATATGGTGCGCGTGCTCTTCCCTTTTGGTTTTCTATTCCTGTCACTGTGCACTTCATTAGAATAGTTTGCTTTGCCTTCTCTATAGCTGCCTTTGGCATTTTTTGTTTAGTTCTTTGACTTCATTACTTCTTCCATTTGCTTTATCTACTCAATGATTAATAACAAATTTCAGAGTCTCGTCTGACATCCACTTTGATGTTTTCTTTTTTTCTGTCTTTTTAATGTCTTTTTGGTTTCATATAATTCACATATCAAACAACCCAATGGTTTGATTACACCAAGGACAGTTGTATAATCATCACCATAATCCATTTTGGAACATTTTCTTCATTCTTCTACTCATCATTACTAGCTCCACATTTCCTTGCAACTTCCCTTTCCCCAGGAAAGCATTAATTCCATTATGGTTTTTATAGATTTGCCTATACTGGATTTCATACACAGAAAAAAATTGTTACAAACAAACAACAACAACAAAGGCTAACAAGAATCACAATGTAAAACAGATAAAAAAACCTCAATAGAAGAAAAAGCAGAAAACACTAAAAACTAGGACAAATTTAAATAGATCATAAGGGAGATAAAATGATAGGGTGCTAAATTTTAACCTAACTGCGTCTGCAATAATCCACTTTCCCATGTACTCTGCATCTTACCAAGGCTATTCTCATCCTCGGTCCATGGTTAGAGAGAATTCCCCAGACGCTTAATCTGCATGCATTTCCCCTTCACTTAAAGAAACATGTCGAAACTATTAAAATAGGCCTAAAGGGAGATCAAATATAGGATATTACATTTTGACCAACTACATTTGCCATAATTGACTTCACAATGCTCTCTGTCTGAAAACAGGGCTAGTCCCATCCCTTCACAATGATTGAAGGGCAGTCACTGGAGGATAAATCCATGTTTGAATCCTGTAAAAGGATTTTGGGTTTCCACTGTCATTCATAGCCTTCTACAAACCAGTTCACCATTTAAGCTCTGAAGCAATCCTCTCCTTAGGTTTGGATCATATTATGTACAACCTTTGGATGACACAGGCTGTGACTGTGAGCATGGTTGATGGCTACTTAGCTGGCTGTTTGTTTGAAAAATAAGCCTTTAAAACTCCAGACACTATTGCTCTTCTTTTTTTTTTTGATGTTTAATGTTTTTACATTATAAACCATTTCATTGTGAGCTCTTACAGATATTATAACAATCCATTACTCAATTAGATCAAACATAATTGTACAATTGCTGCCGCAATCATTTTCAAAACATTTTCTTTCTTCTTGAACTCTTTGATATCAGCTCCCTTTTATCCTCTCTTCCTTCACCCTAACCCCAAGGAACCCCAATAACATCAAATCTGTTATTGAATTATTGTTGTTAGGTTCCATGGAGTTGGCTCCGACCCATAGCAACGCTATGCACAACATAACGAAATACCACACGGCCCTGTGCCGTCCTCACAATTGTTCCTATGCCTGAGTCCAAAAGACATTTAACATTAGGTAAATCTGCTACAAAAGACCTCTTTATTGAAGAGCAATGATGCAACTTTGAGGACTAA